TCAGTTATCTAAAAGGCAACTTTTTTTCCATAAACAAATATTCAGATAAAATGAAACACTATCTTAAAATTAGGATTAACTGATATTATCTTCTCAAAACCTTCGCTTTTACAGCCACTCCAAGAACGTTGATTAATCCACCTAAAATTATGCCACCGATAATTTTAAATAATACCTGTGTCATTCCATCGCCGAACTTTGCTTTACATTTTTCTTATAAAAAGCAAGTATTAAAACATGTACGGCCCAAATCCCTAGGGATCTAAAATAATTTACAGGGAAAACAGGTTCTGGAAAATTTACCTCTGTATTGAACGGAGCTTAATTGTAATTTAACGAACATACTGCGACGTAATCTCCTCATTCTTCTTTTTATTTTTTCGCAACATCACCTCCTATCTGATTATTAAAGAGAATTATTTTTAATTATTTTCCAAAAACAATTAATTATTAAATATGAAAAAATAATTATACACAATATGTTTATTTAGCAAAATGTTTCTTTATATTTACAAATTTATAATTATTTATAACTGACAATATGCAAAAAAATGTAAATAGTCAATGAATTTTTAATTTGTAGTAGATTACTGAATCCTTATATCAAAAATTACCGATTCCATTGTACTTATACAAGGTAGGTCATTTAGGAGGTACATACAGTGTCTTTGACTTAAAGTAGGAACACCTCCGTATTTAGGATGGCGTTGGCCGATTTCCAAAATTCTTGTTTTTATGTGATAGTACTCAAAAAGGCATACTTTTTGATATTTTTTGACATGTGATCATTAATCATCATCATTTTGATAATTAACAAAAAAAAACTCAAAAATTAAAAAACATATGAGGCATTTTTTTAAGAAAAAAATGGATAGTATTTTCGATTTGATCACACCTCAAAACCATAAATACAAAGTAGGTGCAAGCTTCGTAAAATTTCACACATTGCAGAGTGTCTTGTATTAACAGTGGAAAATATTTTCAAGATGTTTTTCCATAATTCTATTAACCGTAGGTATATCCATGCAGTTTCATTGATTTCACGGATACAGGATGCTCACAATATTATAATTTTTTTTTATTGTACCAGAAACGAGTTTCACAACGAAATAATATTTAAATATTACTGTTTTATATTAACCCACCAACATTTTGTATGCACTGTTCAATTCGTTTCCTCTTATTACTAATAACTCTCCTCAACTGATGTGGTGTTATTTGTCGACATGCTTGACTAATTCTTAATTAAAAAAATTAATGTGTTTTGTGGGATTTTATGTGATCAAACAATCGGGTTCTTCTTTTTTAACGTTTATCTAAACGCAGAGATTTTTTTAATTTTTTTAAATACCTAAGATTTCTGGGATTCAGTACATGCACTTCCTTTTCATGTAAGACAGAACCTCTACCTTCAACTAGATGGAGCACCTATTCATGATGTGGTAATAGTAAGTCATTGGTTGAATGAGAATTTCCCGAAAAAGTGGATATATCGCAACAGTCCGTTAGTTGAGTGGCCGTCAAGAGCTCCAGACTTGACCGCTCTTGATTTCTTTTTTAGGGAACTTTGAAAAATAAAGTGTCTTAAACAAGACCCCAGAAGATTGATGTAATAGAATTAGCATGTCCACAAATAGCACCACGTCAGTTGAGCAGAGTTATTAGAAATAAGAGTAGACGAATTGAACAGTGGACTCATAGAAAACAGTAATATTTAAATGTTATTTTCTTGTGAAAGTCATTTCCGGTATTTATAATAAAAAAATATATATAATTTGGCTGTCTTATTGTGAACACCCTGTACAAACTGCATGGAAAAATTAATTAGGACAATTCAATGAGTGAAATTTTTCGAAATTTTCACCTATTTTGTAAACACCCAGTAAAAGCTATAATAATGAAACTTTGTATTTAGGATTTTGAGGTGTCGAAAATGATATGCATTTCTTTCTTAAAAAATGTCTAATATGTTTTTTAATTTTTGATGGTCTTCACATGTCAACAAATATAATATCAAAAAGTATGCCTTTTTGAGTACTACCACATAAAAAAAAGAATTTTGGAAATCGGCCAACGCCATCCTAAATATGGAGGTGTTCCGACTTTAAGTTAAACACACTTTATATTGGCAAGTGACTTATTTTTTATTTCTACGTATTTCTAAATCTATGAACACATTATTACAGTAACTTTTGGCAGAGAATTTCACAAATGAAAAATTGTAAGGAACTGATGACTTCTCGGAAGCACAACATTGAAACAAAGATCTAAGTTCACAGGGATATTATTTGCAAACTGTTTTTACGAATTAAGTTTCTTTTTTCAAAATTTCTAGAAAACCCAACAGCTGAAGCTAGTTTCCATTAAGTTAGTAACACAATTAATTATTTTATTTAAATATTTTTCAATCTGCTATAGTTTCCGAGATCTCAGTACATGCATCAAAATGGTCCATTCGGTATACCAAACCATATATAATTTGTCTATCTAAAATTATTTGACACTTCTTGACTTCCGGTTATGTTAAAAGTAAATGTCGTCTAGCTTACTTTAAATGGAGTATCCTATACATTTTTTGGGTTATTTGTGTACGATAGCTAAAGTTAGTTATTTTACCAAAAAAAATGGACTAATGTTTTAAAATTGATTCAGTTAGTATCGCAATAACTAATCTTTATAAAACTAAAAATTTATAATTTACAAATAAATAAAAAATACAATTATGATTAGCCCTGTGCTTTCTCTAACGTAGTTATGGACTCTCTCGAAGTTCCAACTTTTGCTAAACTCAATCTACTATCAGTAACTCCAGATTGTGGCTTCCATTTCAGTGTTGGCTTCAACAACGACCAACCTCTCTGAAATTTTTTCAATTGATTAAATTATTTACACTTATACCCTTCACTTACATATTTCCCCTTCCACAGCGTCCAAATTCCAAAAATGAGCAATGGTGCCAATGTCGATATACCAATCATCCATCCAATGGAATCCGCCCAAAGAGGAAACCTATAGTCCTCGTAATATGTCCGTGAAAAGTTTGACATTTGAAAGGCAAATATACCCTAAAATCGAAGTTTAATATAAGTGACAATTTTGAAAGAGAAATTAATCTGTTTAACAGTGGCCCATCTCTATATTAAACACAAAAAATTATATAGGTTCAATACATTTTCCATAGTAAGCATATGAGAGTGAAATCAACTTATCACCAAAATATTATAATCTTAATTTGGTTTATTTAAAATAAGGGTTTGAACATGTGGACCTTTGTTAAGAAAGTATGCATTTGCAAAGCCTGATTTTCCTACTAGGACTGTAAAAGAGTACCTAGTTAACTTTTGCTCCAANTCAATGAATTTTTAATTTATATTGTGCAGCGTAGATTACTGAATCCTTATATCAAAAATTACCGATTCCATTGTACTTATACAGGGTAGGTCATTTAGGAGGTACATACACTGTCTTTCACTTAAAGTAGGAACACCTCCGTATTTAGGATGGCGTTGGCCGATTTCTAAAATTGTTGTTTTTATGTGATAGTACTCAAAAAGGCATACTTTTCGATAATATATTTTTTGACATGTGATCATTAATCATCATCATTTTGATCATTAATAAAAAAAAACTCAAAAATTAAAAACATGAGGCATTTTTTTAAGAAAAAAATGGATAGTATTTTCGATTTGATCACTCCTCAAAACCATAAATACAAAGTAGGTGCAAACTTCGTAAACTTTCACACATTGCAAAGTGTCTTGTATTAACAGTGGAAAATATTTTCAAGTATTTTTCCATAATTTTATTAACCGTAGGTATATCCATGCAGTTTCATTGATTTCACTCATACAGAATGCTCACAATATTATATATATATATTTTTTATTGTACCAGAAATGAGTTTCACAACGAAATAATATTTAAATATTACTGTTTTATATTAACCCACCAGCATTTTGTATGCACTGTTCAATTCGTTTCCTCTTATTACTAATAACTCTCCTCAACTGATGTGGTGTTATTTGTCGATATGCTTGACTAATTCTTAATTACAAAAATTAATGTGTTTTGTGGGATTTTATGTGATCAAATAATCGGGTACTTCTTTTTTAACATTTATCTAAACGCAGAGATTTTTTTAATTTTTTCAAATACCTAATGATTTCTGGGATTCAGTACATGCACTTCCTTTTCATGTAAGACCGAACCTCTACCTTCAACTAGATGGAGCACCTATTCATGATGTGGTAATAGTAAGTCATTGGTTGAATGAGAATTTCCCGAAAAAGTGGATATATCGCAACAGTCCGTTAGTTGAGTGGCCGTCAAGAGCTCCAGACTTGACCTCTCTTGATTTCTTTTTTAGGGAACTTTGAAAAATAAAGTGTCTTAAACAAGACCCCAGAAGATTGATGTAATAGAATTAGCATGTCCACAAATAGCACCACGTCAGTTGAGCAGAGTTATTAGAAGTAAGAGTAGACGAATTGAACAGTGGACTCATAGAAAACAGTAATATTTAAATGTTATTTTCTTGTGAAAGTCATTTCTGGTATTTATAATAAAAAATATATAATTTGGCTGTCTTATTGTGAACACCCTGTACAAACTGCATGGAAAAATTAATTAAAATCATGAAAATATATCTTAAAAATATTTTCCACTGTTAATACAGGACAATTCAATGAGTGAAATTTTTCGAAATTTTCACCTATTTTGTAAACACCCTGTACAAGCTATAATAATGAAACTTTGTATTTAGGATTTTGAGGAGTCGAAAATGATATGCATTTCTTTCTTAAAAAATGTCTAATATGTTTTTTAATTTTTGATGGTCTTCACATGTCAAAAAATATAATATCAAAAAGTATGCCTTTTTGAGTACTACCACATAAAAAAAAAAGAATTTTGGAAATCGGCCAACGCCATCCTAAATATGGAGGTGTTCCGACATTAAGTTAAACACACTGTATGTTGGCAAGTGACTTATTTTTTATTTCTATGTATTTCTAAATCTATGAAAACATTATTACAGTAACTTTTGGCAGAGAATTTCACAAATGAAAAATTGTAAGGAACTGATGACTTCTCGGAAGCACAACATTGAAACAAAGATCTAAGTTCACAGGGATATTATTTGCAAACTGTTTTTACGAATTAAGTTTCTTTTTTCAAAATTTCTAGAAAACCCAACAGCTGAAGCTAGTTTCCATTAAGTTAGTAACACAATTAATTATTTTATTTAAATATTTTTCAATCTGCTATAGTTTCCGAGATCTCAGTACATGCATCAAAATGGTCCATTCGGTATACCAAACCATATATAATTTGTCTATCTAAAATTATTTGACACTTCTTGACTTCCGGTTATGTTAAAAGTAAATGTCGTCTAGCTTACTTTAAATGGAGTATCCTATACATTTTTTGGGTTATTTGTGTACGATAGCTAAAGTTAGTTATTTTACCAAAAAAAATGGACTAATGTTTTAAAATTGATTCAGTTAGTATCGCAATAACTAATCTTTATAAAACTAAAAATTTATAATTTACAAATAAATAAAAAATACAATTATGATTAGCCCTGTGCTTTCTCTAACGTAGTTATGGACTCTCTCGAAGTTCCAACTTTTGCTAAACTCAATCTACTATCAGTAACTCCAGATTGTGGCTTCCATTTCAGTGTTGGCTTCAACAACGACCAACCTCTCTGAAATTTTTTCAATTGATTAAATTATTTACACTTATACCCTTCACTTACATATTTCCCCTTCCACAGCGTCCAAATTCCAAAAATGAGCAATGGTGCCAATGTCGATATACCAATCATCCATCCAATGGAATCCGCCCAAAGAGGAAACCTATAGTCCTCGTAATATGTCCGTGAAAAGTTTGACATTTGAAAGGCAAATATACCCTAAAATCGAAGTTTAATATAAGTGACAATTTTGAAAGAGAAATTAATCTGTTTAACAGTGGCCCATCTCTATATTAAACACAAAAAATTATATAGGTTCAATACATTTTCCATAGTAAGCATATGAGAGTGAAATCAACTTATCACCAAAATATTATAATCTTAATTTGGTTTATTTAAAATAATGGTTTGAGTATGTGGACCTTTGTTAAGAAAGTATGCATTTGCAAAGCCTGATTTTCCTACTAGGACTGTAAAAGAGTACCTAGTTAACTTTTGCTCCAAAACTATCAAAGACTAGTTGTAGATCACCCTTGTGAACTAATATTTAATATTTACTCATTTTTCTTAATTTTAGACTTGTTGAATTTTGCTCGCAAGCTACAGATTTATGCAAAATGTGTTCTCATCTTTACCTACACGAATTACGCCAATTCTAACAAAATGAAATTGATATCTCTTACTCCTGACTGGATTTTTTCATCATCTATAAATTTGTGAACTAATTTTTAAGACATTATTTATTTTTTATAAGTTGTTATTTCTGATAACAAAAAGTTTAATTATGATACGTTTACATAAAATACAATTGTCATGTTAGTTATTGTATACTCTGATTACTATTTAGATGGACAAATAGTACATACATATACAGACTAGTACATAATTTATGAAAGGTATACGTTTTTAACGGTTAATAATAGATGGTACTACTACTTACTAATCATAAAGACTATGAGTAATGGTATTAAGGTTAATAAACAAAGCAAATAATAATTTATTATAATGAGTTAGTGAAGACTGTGAAAATTCATTGCAAGTACGGAGAGCGTGTAGGTGAGACTGTGCGCAAATACGTAGAATTTTCGGTAGACCGACGCCCCGAATTAAACAACTGTGAAAATATTTGTTGTCAAATTTATACAAACAGGTACGATTGCAGACAATAAAAAAACAGGTGTCGTACTGGCCGTTCAGCCGAAAATATTGCAAGGTGAGGCGGAAATTCCCGTAACCGTAACAAAAGATCTGCATATGCATCCATTTACCCTGGTGAATTGTCCGTTCTTTTTTGAAAATATGGCTGGACACGCACATACTGTCAATGGAAAACGATATCGAGAGACGCTATTAAAGTTTTTGTGGCTTAATTTGGATGGCATGGATTTGGATGGCATGTGGTTCCAACAAGATGGTGCCACCTACCATACGGCACGTGAGACTATCCACACGGCAGAAATTTAATGGACGACTCATCTCACGTAAAAGTGAAGTGGCATGGCTACCAAGATCATGCCATCTTATACCATGCGACTTTTTTCTGTGGAGATTCAAAGTTTATTCTGCTCAAATGCATGTATGCGAAAGCAGATTTTTCTTATAAGAAGTGTTGAGTGTATCAAATGAGTTGCGGCGGACATCTGTCCGATATCTTCTGTTATATTTAATGGCAACTTTTCAATTAATAATTTTGTTTCTCATAATATGAAATCATTAGTTTCTTTTGGGACATCCTTTATATACGGTAGCTATTATTACAATAAAAAAATATTTTTGCTCAGTAGTTTAAAGTAACCATCAATATTTTTCAAAGCAAATAATTTTAATTATAAACATAGCAATACCTTTGCGCAATAGATATATGAAATATTTAATGAATTTATTCACCAGTTCATAAGTAATATATGCCCACCACAATTTAAAAATTCACCGAAGTATTTCTAGCTACACATTTTACTTTTGCTTGATTAGTATAGAGTGGCAAATTTTTAGTAAAATTTTACAGAACTCTAATGGACTCTCTAATTTAAAGTACCGTAGTTTTCCGGTTGTTATACCCTGCCCCATGTATCTTGTCTCCGCCACTTACAAATTTGGAACGCACTTCTTTAGCCTTAGCTAGAAATGCTTTACCTGACCTTGTTGTTCCCGGTATATCTGTGGGAGAGGACTCACTGTCAGAAGGTCTAAGCCGCCCTGATGTTGATTCGAGTCTTGTTCCTTAATGGCCTCCGTAAGTTGCCGCATTCAGTGGTGCCAAATGTTTCACTATTGTTGACTTCCGGCATCTTCAGTGATGACCTTGCAGAGAACTACCATAGTCTGAGGAGTAGGTCCATCCTTAGTGACCTTAGAATCAACAACAAGAACCGAAATCAACATCGAGGTGTCCCTAGAGGTTCTAAAAGAGAGCCCACCCACACAGAACCTAGCCCGACATCAACAAGGGAAGTTCAAAGATTCTTAGCTAAGGCTGAGAAAGTGCAATGTCCGTTCTGTCTGTAACTGGCGGCAACCAGGTAACAACGATGTCAACAATACTTTACAACAATATTTCTTAGTGACACTCTTCGGTATTTAAAAAAAAATGAGTGCTATTGGACACTCTTAAATTTGTTAAAACAATAAACACCCGGTATGTAAAATCAAGGAAGTAGTAACAGATTTAACAGTTTCAGAACAAGCAAGAAGTTTTATAGAGAATATAATATAATATAAAATGGGCCAGTGTTACTTATACAGATTCGTTACATTTACACTTACTCAAATCACATTCATTATCAATTCATTGAAAATCCATTTGCACGTGAATATTAAATATTTTCAAAGAGAAATGGTACCTACCAATAACGTTAATGGTGTTATGATCATCCAAGACGTCCACCAGTAATATCTGAAGAATTTTGACAGATTCATTTTCATGTCAGCCATATTATCCAAAAATTTATTACAGCCGTAGACCCAAGAAACTATAATTGCCTCGCAAAATCCAATTAACATAATAGCCCATGACGCTGTGTTCCATTCCATTAAGGTAAAAATATAAATACCCCCACTAAAACACATTGGTATAGCTAATACAAAACAGCTTACACATATTCCAAGCGTCACATATATCTGTTTCTGCCTCAGTTGCGGCCATTTGTCCAAAATTAGACAGCTTATGGCTTCAACTCCAGCAAATTGGCAGCCGAGTCCAAGAATGAAGAGCATAAAGAAAAAGAGAAGGGACCAAACAGTTGGGGCAGGCAGTCTTAAAATAGCTTCTGGATATGCGACAAATGCTAAGCCAGGACCATCTGACGCGACTTCTGCTACAGGTATATCCATTTGATTGGCTAAATATCCAAGCATGCCGAATATCGCAAAACCCGCATAAACTGATGTGAAGGCGTTGGCAAAACTTACTATGAGTACATCTGTGATACAGTTATTATGAAAATCGTTATAAGAAGCCAACGTTATCAGAGATCCACAACTAATCCCAAAAGAATAGAATGTTTGCGATGCTGCTTGGGCCCATACATCGATTTCAAGTAGCATTTCCCATTGCGGAATGATGTAAAGGCGAATACCATCAATCGCGCCTTCTAAAATACATCCTTGTACAACTAAAGCTGTAAGTATGACATAGGGAAAAAGTGATGTGAAATAGACAGCTTTTCCTGAGGTCTTTACTCCCTTAATCACGCAGAGATACCCTATAATCCAAGAGAGCAACAAGCATCCAACAAGTTCCCAACGAATGCCACCGAAATTATACCAATCGGCGTCGCCTATACCAAGTACATAGTCTCGAAAATATTCGGCAGTGGCTAAAGTCCGATTTACAACGTGACTTACGTGTACTGCATTTCCATTTCCATCATTACAGTACGTTCTATTAAACGCACCTGTAAAATTAAAATGCTGGCAAAGTGTGTTCACGTCCATACAGGTGCGGTTAAAGTAAGTTTCAGTTATTGCACATTTTGCATCTTCTGTAGCGCTGAAACAACCTAAAATAAAAAGTGAAGATTAACATTTTTGATATAATATGGACCTAATAATTAAACCAAAAAAAAAGTCGTCCAAGAAGTACACAAATTATAAAATATGTCCGATTTGGAAAAATCATCTGTTTTATAATATACGAGTAGGTGTACTTTGTTTCAACTAAAAGATCTCATACTCTTTCTGTTTTTTTTTTGTCAGCAACACCTTACCTCACAAATGGCACAAACTTCAAATTTTGCGTGAATTTTGGGACATTTTATTATTTATGTTATTATTTATATTTATTGATCTACCATGTAAAATACCATCAGTCAGTTTGAGCCATTAACTATTTTCGTTATTTCTTTTTCGTAAACTTTGCAAGTTATGAAACCATGCATCAGGAGTATCTACCCCTGGATCTCTTGTTTGTAAGTTTAGTTTAATGCTAAATACATACTCTCAATGCATACATATAAAATTCAGATTCAGATAAAAAAGTTTAAAAACGAACTAAGTTGCAAATCTGTTATATGACATGCTGGGTTCGTTATTTATGCCTTAGTTGGCCTTGACTTTGTTTGCCATTGTACGTGGTTGGAAATAAATTAAGTTATAACTGTAATTTTCTTATAGTTTTTGGTTCAATTTCAGTAATCATTCTATTCTGTCTGTAGAAGGTTGATATATCGGCAATTCCGTAACATCTTACTATGTTGTTTAAGTAGCAGTATCAACAACAGACAATAATAGTAGTTAGCCGTTTAATGGCATCAGGAGTGTAAGTCAAATTGCACTTGCTCCAGCAAAAAAGTTGTATACAATACAACACAGATCATAAACGATTCAATTGCAGCAGCTTAAACAAGATTTCTGATGGCCAGTCACAATTGAACTAACGTTTATCTGAACATTACTTAACGCTAATCAAAATTTCTTGTATTAATTAAATTATATTGCTGTGATTATTAAAATGTCAGTTAAACATAATTTGATGCGCTGAATGTAAGTGAACTGGATATTAAAGGTTCATAAACTGCAATATTATGTAAAAACATATATTAAAAAAGAAAAATTTACAGCAAATATTTTATTTCAGATATACAATAGCATTAAGTGAGGTATTGTTAAAGTAAGACATTAAGTTTTTAATTGAAAGTTACTTTTATTTGTGTCAGAACATTACTTTTTATCTACCTGTTATTCTTTTATGTTTCTAGCAATTAAGATATCAACAAAGGAGCTTTTTAGCCACAGAGTCGAATTATATTCATTTGTAGTATCCGAGATATGGTTATGAAATGCAAATTGATCTGTATTTATTATATTTATTATTATTATTGACAAGCTATAGATACTAAAAAATGTATTAGGTATTATTAAATTATTACTATTCTTACCCTAGTCTAGAAACAAAGGTAGATTATTATTTAAACTGCTCAATTGTTTAAGAATTCACTCTGTGAGATCCTTCTGCTAAAATTAAGATTCTGCAAACTCACCCTTTGTATTAAAATCGTTGTGGCAGTGTCCATATCCCAGATCTGACGTAAAAGAAGCGAAAAAGTAGAACACTGTCCATGCTATTATCACCATGTAATAAATTGTAACAAGAGTTATGACAACTATATTGCAGTACCCTAAACCACTGAATAAAGGCGCCATATTTTTAAATGCTTGATCAGGACCCAATCCAGAGTACTGTCCGACTACCAGCTCTAGAAGGAATATAGGCATTCCCATAAGAACTAGCATGATCAGATATGCCAAGAGGAATGCTCCTGGAAATAAAAATAAGAAAATACGATCAAGACGAAAACGAAATTTTATTTTGTTCAGATAAAGCTAGATCGTCACAATAAAGATATCTTATGTCTTTTAATGTAATTGAACAAATATCTCTAATAAGTCACCTAGTTATTTATTATATTACAGTTAAAATTATTTCTATATCTACGATACTGGCAGGTATTAGAGCAAACTATACTGTATTTTCTGCGATTTGTATCAGTTGTAGTGTGCAGTTGTTGAATATTAACGTAACTCGTTACCTATATACATTTTTTTAATATTATGTTAATATTTTGCTGTATTTATTTTACTTGGTGGAATTTTAAAATACAATAGGTGGAAAGATCTAGATAAACCTCCGAATGAAGCGCGTAGGAAGAGACGTCCTTTCCCTGTGGCTTTTTCACAAAATTCACAAACCTATCAAATCAGAAAGTATAATTACTTTTTTATTGTTTTTAATAGTTTTCATAGCTTAATTTACCTTGTTTCACCCTGACAAATTTTCTGCCATCGAATCAAAATATTTGAAAATGTTATTAGATATAATGACTGGCACTTACGCCATGAAAACACCCAGTTACATCATAAATTGTTTTGTTAAACAAAATTCTGATTTTTTTGTACGTCAACTAAATACAGTACTTTCTGAATATGAATTTGAAAAAAAATATTCTGAATGAACCCATTGTCTGCGGGCACCTGCGGAAAAGATACTCTGTTAACAATGCTCGACGGATATGATCCGTTCTTGAATTTACATATTTTTATTTGTTGAATTATACAGCGTGATTCATTTAAGGATGTCTACACTGGAAATCTCAAAAACGGTAAGAGTGCAAGGGTGACAAAGATAACGATAAATTATGGAATGATGCCTTTAGTTTACTTTCAAAAAAATAATAATAATTTATTTCTTTTTTAAACTTCATAACGATATTGGAAATTTAAAACTTTCCGGTATTACATAAATTAACATCCTGCATGGTGATATTAGAATTTTTGTTGTAACAATATACAAGGTGTTAGTAAATAAGTGCAACAAATTTCAGGGGGTGATTCTACATGAGAAAATAATGGCAGTTTGCTTATAAACGTATGTCCGCAAATGATTCGTTCGAGATACGGGGTGTCAAAGTTTTTCTTAAAAACTGACGATTTAATTTATTGCTCTGAAACCGGTCGAGATGTGCAAATGAAATTTGGTGGGTTTTAAGAGGTAGTTATTGCGCATTTTTTGACATGCAATTAAGAATTTTATGTTCATCATTGGCGCGCGTACGGGTAATAATCTCAATTTTTTTAAAGAAAAAAATGGTACGCCACTGAGATATTACATTTTTGAATTCCTCGTTCAATTTGTGACAAAAAATCTCTCTTGCTTTTTCTTCGTATGGGGCGCCGTTTTGATGCAAAAAAATAAAACATCTTAACGCGTATTTTTTATTTCTTTAATACATTACCTATTATAGTAGGCTACTGTCAACATTTGTCTGTTAAATACGAATATTTTTAAGAAATGTCAAATTAGCGTTTCGTCATTATTAATTTATTAAGCTTTTAGTTTGCTATAACATTAGTGTTAATAAGTAATTAATATTTTTTTTTATCGAAAAGAATGGAAAATTTTACAAATGCGGAATTGTCAGACATGCATTTTGTCTATAGTCGAAGTAATGGAAATGGTCGGCAAGCTCGACGATTATATGCTGAGTTGTATCCAGGACGTAGGGTACCTCATCACACAATATTTGCTCGTCTTCATCAACGTTTGCGCGAAAATGGTTCATTTAAGAAACAAACGGTTGACTGTGGGCTCCCTCGAGAAGTACGAACTGTGCAACTAGAAGACGCAGTTCTCGAGTTAATTGCGGAGTCATCTGAAACAAGTACTCGAAAAATTGCCAACATATTGAATGTAAGCAACTTGTATCCGTTTCATATTGAACGTGTGCAAGCTCTACTACCTAGAGACTTTTTTCCGCGCCTATTTTTTTGCCAATGGATTAATCATCAAATCGCTCAAATTCCTAATTTTTTAAATGCCGTTTTGTTTACTGACGAGGCTACTTTTGGACGACAGTGTATACGAAATTTCCATAACAATCACTTATGGGCTGAGGAAAACCCCCATGGAATCTTTGAAGCTCATTTTCAGCATCAGTTTTCCGTAAATGTATGGCTTGGGGTAATTGATGATCATTTAATCGGTCCATATTTCCTCCCACAACGACTAACAGGCGAATCTTATCTTAATTTCCTACAGGAAGAGTTACCTGTTCTTCTTGAAGAAATTCCTCTACAGCTGAGACAACACCTATGGTACATGCATGATGGTGCACCAGCCCATTTTAGCATTAATGTACGTAATCACTTAGACACAGTATATCCAAATCGTTGGATAGGTAGGGGAGGTACGGAACATTGGCCTGCTCGATCGCCGGATTTAAATCCTCTTGATTTTTGCATTTGGGGTTTTCTTAAGTCATTAGTTTATTCCACTCCCGTTGAAAATGTTGATGACCTGAGGAATCGAATTATAGTCGGCTGTGAGACAATAAGAAATATACCAAGAATATTTGCGCGAATACGACAATGAATGAGGCGAAGAGTTGAATCTTGTGTCACGTCTGAGGGAGGTCATTTTGAACATTTGTTGTAGCTTTGCGCCTTTTCAAAATTTTATTAGTGTTATTTTCTGTTATTGTTCTGGTTTAATGTTATTGTTTTTAATTTGTAATATTTCAGTGGCGTACCATTTTTTCCTTTAAAAAAATTGAGATTATTACCCGTACGCGCGCCAATGATGAACATAAAATTTGTAATTGTGTGTAATGTAATGTACAAAGTAGTTTATACAAATAAATGCTAATTAATGATATTAAAGATTAAAATTTAGTTTAATGTCGTCAACCAAGATCTAGAAGATTTAGAAATAATTAAATAGACCCTTGTATGGGGAATTAATACAGCCTATCGTTCCATTAGAATATTTCAGACTGCCTCGATTTAAATTTTGTAAATCTGAGGTTTTCGGGGGTGCTCTCTTTTAATAAAATAATGCCATTGTCCGGATATACCGGAAGTTGCCATCTACTAGCTTATTTTAAATGGAATACCCTATATATTCTTGCATTATCGACAAGATAAATTAAAAATAAGTAAAAAATAATGTAACCATTTTCGAGATAATCGACATTTTATAAAAATTTTGATAGATGCAAACGTTTCGAAAATTCCTTATATCTTTCTTTGTTCTGGTAGCTCACTTGTTTTTCGGAACACGCAAAGAACATAAGATGCACTACTCTCCACAATAAAAATTACCTGAAGAAAATTATATCCTATTTTTTAAGTTACATTTTGGCAACTTAAAACCAACAAAACTTCAATTCAAACACCTTGTATTTTTTGCGTCATATTATAGAAAATCAAATTCTCTATTCACCGATATAGGCATTGTAGGGGTCACAGTGTCGATTTTCTCAGATATTTGGGGTTTTCTTCCATTCTCAAGAGTATTATATCAAAAATACAATCAAATGAGCTTTGAAAAACAAATATCGGTACTGGCATTCAGTATTCTACAAATATCAAGTATTTAAAATTTATTTTATATCTATGGAACATTCACCTAGAATCAGAATTATTATCTGAATTTCTACAAAATAATATTTTGCAATTGAAACAGAACAATTAATAAAATGATTTCGGTTCGTTTTCTTATAATTTTTCTCTAATATTTGATGTAGCCATGTCAGTTTTTAAAGAATAGCAAACTTAAATAATTTCAAATAACTAATAAATGATTATCAGGTATTTTAATGAAGTTGAAAAGAATATTTATAATTTAAAATTTTGGTTGCTGTTTGTTTGCTGGTTCACTGTTTTCTTACTGAATATAATCTTAATAATGCGATAATATATGGTGTGTTCGATTTAAAATAACGAAGTTGACAGCTACTTCCTATATAACTGGAGATACTACAATAATGGCATTATTTTATTTAAAGAGACCACTCCCGAAAACCCCAGAGCCTAAATTTTCAAAATTGAATGCGAAGTAGTCTCTGAAATATTTTATTGGGCCGTTACTGTAAGACAGCCTGTTTATACGAGTAGTAATTTGTATTTTCATAAAAATTTTTGTTGGTCTATGAAAGTTACAGAAGAACTGAATCCACTATACAAGAGAACTTATCGTTTCACAAACTTTTTGCAGTCTAAAACTGCGATTTTTTTTAAATTTTGCTTCAACAATGTCAACTTACAATATCAGTAATAAACCTTGGTACAAGTATTTTTTTTAATATGTTTATTATTAACAGCGTAAAGGCATTCTGCGACTGGAGCTTTCTGCCAATAATGTACGTCAGCAGAATTTTTAACAACCGAAGCTTAAGCTTATGTTTTCTGTCGACGGTAAACAAGAGCAAAGTAAGTTAAAAACTTAATACATTTTAACCATTTATGTTCCAATTATTATTTGCAGCATTTCCAGGGTGTACACCCTCAAACGAATCAGGTAATAAATGTATTTTAAATGTGCAACAGATTTAAAACAACACAGAGTATGTAGTGTTTTCTTCTTCAAGCTTGAAAGATTGAAATAGTATTTATCTTAATGTAAAGACAATAGTGTTTCATCATTCTCTTACGTGCCAGATACACGTCTTTTTGTTGACTCCGTAGTTCATGTTACTTATCTGTGGTAATTTATAAAGCAATTAGTGAGGGTGTCCTTAACAGAAGCCACAGTTATTATTCCCTTATTAATGATCTTTTATCGGTCATGAAGTTATTAATGACATTCGTTAAATGACATGATTGGTCAGTTGGCGAGCAAGCGTTGGTTTAGATTTTACCGTAAATCATTGTCCGGGTTGATTTATAGACCAGTGCAGTGAAAGGAAGTGGACTCCAAGCCAGCAATTCAAAAAAGACCAAAAAGGACGTCTTGAAATTGGGAGTTCAACGCGTTCAAGTTTAC